TCATTATTAGGTGTCTTAAAACACCTATTTAAATGGTTTCAAAGTTACCATAACTTTCTTGGTGATGATCACGTAGTTAAAACTGATTACTAATCTAAGCTGTGAATCCGTGATATTTAGGTGTGAAAAATTAGTCATTATTAGGTGTATTAAAACACCTATTTAAATGGAAGTCAAAGTTGCCATAAGTTCCGCGGAGATGATCTCGTGACTCAAACGGATTATTAATATAAGGTGGGCATACGTGACTTTTAGGTGTGAAAAATAAGTCATGATTGGGTGTCTTAAAACACCTATTTAAATCGTAGTCAAAGTTGCCAGCAGTTCCGCGGTGATGATCGCGTGACTCAAACGGATTATTAATATAAGCTGGGTATTCCGTGTTTTCCATGTGTGAAAATGAGTTATTCTTGGGTGTCTTGATGGTTTCACAGTTACCATTTAAGTTCCGTGGTGATAATCCCGTGACTGTTGGCATATTTCTTTGTTCACAAGTTGATAACTGACTGTTGGCATATTTTCATTGCACCAGTTGATAACTGGAGTGTGCATATTTCCAGTTGCACCAGTTGATGACTGAGCGTTGGCATATTTTGAGTTGACCCAGCTGACACCAATTCATTTGCATATTGAATATGGGGTGCGTGCAGATCTATGTTTTTTAAACAATTTATCTGAATTTACAGCATATTTCTTAATTACTGATGATTTAGTTATATGCAATTCATTTCGAAAATACTACAAATATAAATTACCAGTTATTAGGACATTTCGCTACTTCGTATAAATAGTTAAACATGAATAAGGGAAACATTAACTGTGAACTAAAATAATTTCAATAAAGTACAAGTATACGAGTTTTTTTCTCCATTAATTCAATTATGTAAGTCTACTTATTACCAATGCCCTTACATTGGAAATACAGACGTACCAGTATTGAAGTATTGTTGCTGTTCAACTGGTTGGAAGTTTTACCAAATGGTTCTAATGGCTCAGCTAGACCAGTTGAATTATAACTGGCCTGGATCAACTGGATCATTTAGCCCATTTCAATTTCCAGGGTTACCAGTTGGCATTAAATGGTTCATCAACTGGACCAGTTGCAACTAGCTTTCTCTTCTGGGATGTTTGCAACCCCCCACCCCCCCCTCCACCCAACCCCCTCTAATCCCAAACTGCTTCCGGCGCGCCTTGACGTAATTATGGAAGATCCAAGACACGATGTTCAGAAACGGGATGAGAACGTCATTATTTCGGTTCATTTATTGTGTAACATTTGCGTAATTATTGGGTTGAACGCAGGTTACAGTAACATACTTCCTCTTCGACGTAAATTTCACGTGAATGAAGAACATGATTCATCCCAAGTCAGCCTCGTAATATTCACGTGAATTTCACGCAGATATTTTGACTAAAACTATCACTAACGCTTCACGTGTTTCTGTGACACGATAAATTCGTGTATGAAGATGTAATTTCATAACCAAACAAACACGGGAGTATTAGGTTTACAAACCATGGTCTCCAAGGTAGGGATAATCACGTTATTATAATGGTGATATTGCAGTGACAATTGCGTGATTTAGTGTACGTGTGTTTTAAGTTACCTAATGCAAAAAACGTATTAACACATTTACGTAAATGTCCGGTGTTTGAAGAACGTAACTCTCCTCAAGTCGATACCTTGATATTGACGTGATTTTCACGTGATTTTGTTTATTGGGATAGAAGGAAGAAACAAATAATAACATAAGGAAAGACAGAACGAGGAAATGATAGAATGATACAAAACAAGGAATAACATAAGAGAAGGTGATAGAAGGAAGAAACAAAGAATAACATAAGGAAAAATAGAAAGAGGAAGTGATAGAATGATTAAAAAAACCAAAGAATAACATAAGAGAAGGTGATAGAAGGAAGAAACAAAGAATAACATAAGGAAAGACAGAAAGAGGAAGTGATAGAATGATAAAAAAAAACAAAGAATAACATAAAAGAAGGTGATAGAAGGAAGAAACAAAGAATAACATAAGGAAAGACAGAAAGAGGAAGTGATAGAATGATAAAAAAAACAAAGAATAACATAAAAGAAGGTGATAGAAGGAAGAAACAAAGAATAACATAAGGAAAGACAGAAAGAGGAAGTGATAGAATGATAAAAAAAAACAAAGAATAACATAAAAGAAGGTGATAGAAGGAAGAAACAAAGAATAACATAAGGAAAGACAGAAAGAGGAAGTGATAGAATGATAAAAATAAACAAAGAATAACATAAAAGAAGGTGATAGAAGGAAGAAACAAAGAATAACATAAGGAAAGACAGAAAGAGGAAGTGATAGAATGATAAAAAACAACAAAGAATAACATAAAAGAAGGTGATAGAAGGAAGAAACAAAGAATAACATAAGGAAAGACAGAACGAGGACGTGATAGAATGATTAAAAAAACCAAAGAATAACATAAGAGAAGGTGATAGAAGGAAGAAACAAAGAATAACATAAGGAAAGACAGAAAGAGGAAGTGATAGAATGATAAAAAACAAAACAAAGAATAACATAAAAGAAGGTGATAGAAGGAAGAAACAAAGAATAACATAAGGAAAGACAGAATGAGGAAATGATAGAATGATACAAAACAAAGAATAACATAAGAGAAGGTGATAGAAGGAAGAAACAAAGAATAACATAAGGAAAGACAGAACGAGGAAATGATAGAATGATACAAAACAAAGAATAACATAAGAGAAGGTGATAGAAGGAAGAAACAAAGAATAACATAAGGAAAAATAGAAAGAGGAAGTGATAGAATGATTAAAAAAACCAAAGAATAACATAAGAGAAGGTGATAGAAGGAAGAATCAAAGAATAACATAAGGAAAGACAGAAAGAGGAAGTGATAGAATGATAAAAAAAAACAAAGAATAACATAAAAGAAGGTGATAGAAGGAAGAAACAAAGAATAACATAAGGAAAGACAGAACGAGGAAATGATAGAATGATACAAAACAAAGAATAACATAAGAGAAGGTGATAGAAGGAAGAAACAAAGAATAACATAAGGAAAGACAGAAAGAGGAAATGATAGAATGAAGAAACAAAGAATAACATAAGAGAAGGTGATAGAAGGAAGAAACAAAGAATAACATAAGGAAAAATAGAAAGAGGAAGTGATAGAATGATTAAAAAAACCAAAGAATAACATAAGAGAAGGTGATAGAAGGAAGAAACAAAGAATAACATAAGGAAAGACAGAAAGAGGAAGTGATAGAATGATAAAAAAAAACAAAGAATAACATAAGAGAAGGTGATAGAAGGAAGAAACAAAGAATAACATAAGGAAAGACAGAAAGAGGAAGTGATAGAATGATAAAAAAAACAAAGAATAACATAAAAGAAGGTGATAGAAGGAAGAAACAAAGAATAACATAAGGAAAGACAGAACGAGGAAATGATAGAATGATACAAAACAAAGAATAACATAAGAGAAGGTGATAGAAGGAAGAAACAAAGAATAACATAAGGAAAAATAGAAAGAGGAAGTGATAGAATGATTAAAAAAACCAAAGAATAACATAAGAGAAGGTGATAGAAGGAAGAAACAAAGAATAACATAAGGAAAGACAGAAAGAGGAAGTGATAGAATGATAAAAAAAAAACAAAGAATAACATAAAAGAAGGTGATAGAAGGAATAAACAAAGAATAACATAAGGAAAGACAGAACGAGGAAGTGATAGAATGATTAAAAAAAACCAAAGAATAACATAAGAGAAGGTGATAGAAGGAAGAAACAAAGAATAACATAAGAAAAGACAGAAAGAGGAAGTGATAGAATGATAAAAAAAAACAAAGAATAACATAAAAGAAGGTGATAGAAGGAAGAAACAAAGAATAACATAAGGAAAGACAGAACGAGGAAATGATAGAATGATACAAAACAAAGAATAACATAAGAGAAGGTGATAGAAGGAAGAAACAAAGAATAACATAAGGAAAGACAGAACGAGGAAATGATAGAATGATACAAAACAAAGAATAACATAAGAGAAGGTGATAGAAGGAAGAAACAAAGAATAACATAAGGAAAGACAGAACGAGGAAATGATAGAATGATAAAAAAAAACAAAGAATAACATCAGAGAAGGTGATAGAAGGAAGAAACAAAGAATAACATAAGAGAAGGTGATAGAAAGAAAGAGCAAAGAATGATAAAAACAAAGAATAACATAAGAGAAGGTGATAGAAGGAAGAAACAAAGAATAACATAATAGAAGGTGATAGAAAGAAAAAGCAAAGAAGGAAGAAACAAAGAATAACATAAGGAAACACAGAAATAGAGTGTGATAGAAGGAAGAAACAAAGAATAACATAAGGAAACACAGAAAGAGAAAGTGACTAAATAAAGAATAACATAAGAGAAGGTGATAGAAGGAAAAACAAAGAATAATATAAGGAAAGACAGAAAGAAGAAAGTTTTTTCATCGGAGTGCCGCGCATGCGCATTACCAACTGAAACACGCCAAAACATCACTGAGCTTTTCAGTAGGTGATGTTTCCGCACAAGTGTAAACGGGTGCGCGAAACATCGCGACTTTTCAAAATGAGGTATTTGACAGTATAAATGCGCCTTATCATCATCTTCCTTTCTCTTGATCTGTATTTCTTCATCTCACTCCCCCATCTCCATCTGAATGTCTCTTTATTTATTGATTGAGAACAGTTGAAAATGCAACATATCACAAAATCAAAACAGTTATTTATAAGTTATAACAAAATATATCTTTTATTTTCTTCTCCTTTTGCACTATTTCATAAATTTACAGAATCATTCATCATGGAAATCAACAGGCACAAAATTTTTACTAGATAAAAGTGGTCCACATATCTCACATTGTCTGATGCATACATACCAGATGGATATTTACTTCGATTTCATAGAATCACAGTCATTTTTATTCATGCATTTTGTGAACACATTAAGAAAAATATTATTAAATTGTCTGTTAAAAGATACCTAGGGATTTAAAAAAAAAAAAAAAAATTCTTCTGTTATGCAAGCAACATATTTGTGATACATGTCCAGTGGAACCTTAAAGGTACTATGTCCCTTTTGCAGCCAACCTCAAATTCTGTAGAACTTTGCAGGAATAATGAATATGTCATGTATGTCCTATCTGTGAAATTTAAACGTTAGCAGTGTCCTCATATTCAAATTATGCAAGGAAACCCGTTTACTTGCTAGACTTCACTGTCAGACACTATTGAGTGACTGACTGGCTTTTTTTCTTCTTTGGTAATAACATACATGAAAAGAGTTGTAAAGGGTACATGAGCATTTGTCTACATCAATAACCCACTTCTTGTGATGGCCAAGATTAAACTGATTGAATCTTTGCGCAGCATAAAACGTATGACCATTCGGTACAATTGTCTGAAAATCAAGACTATTACTTTTGGGCTCTATAGCCCTAAAGTCGATTTGACAACTAATAGTCATTATTTTCCCACTTGAAGACATTTTCAAGCCCCACCTTTTTTTAGGGAAGTTCTAAATAAATATTATATTGCAAATGCAGTTGGAATTTAACTTTTTCATTTTTTGGGCCTGCAAATGGGACATAGTACCTTTAATAAAGAGCTCTGGTATAACGAGGTATCTGTTATAAGAAGGTGATTTTGTTGGTCCCAGCTCTTTATATTATTTTGTTTTTTACCCTGATATGACAAGATTCCTGATATAACGAGGAAAGTTCCATGGTCCCAAGGACCTCGTTAAAACAAGTTTCATTTTCAACTGAAATTGTTGATTAGAATATGGGTTATGTTTTTTTCTTCTATGATTCAAAAGACAGAGCCCATATTTTAACTAATTTGCATAAAATAGGTTTTTGATTAGATTAATAAAACAACAATAGGCTAAATCAGTGCTCATCTCTTTACACAAAACTAAAGATATGTGGTCTATGGAATGCCAAAATATAAGCAACACAATTCATGATTGACAGGAAACCAATAACCTATTGTTCTCGTCATTCCTTTCCTGGAATTAGCTATTCTATATAGCCATCTATTAACTATGTGTGGCAAAATAACCATGTTGGTGTATCATCGTAACTTTACACATTTTGTAATATTGCATTTGTCACATAAAAACATACATAATCATGACATTGATATTTCCAGATAAGTTAAGAACATAAAAATGACATAACGAAAGATAAACACAAAATACAATTATATATACGAATGAGGAAACCGGCAAGAAAGAATATTAAAGTCTAATGTGGCGCTGGTCCCTTACGACATAATAAAGAATTTTACCCTATAACACTTAACACCTTACCTAACACCTGATTGCATATACATACAACCGATAACATGCTATTCACATAAAACGTAATTGTTCGTATCTCTTTGTAAATGTATTTAAAGGTGGGCTTGCTTTAACATTACGAGGTAATTCATTTCATAAAATTGGTCTTTAAAGAAAACTGAATTTTTAGAGACAACATTTTTAATAAGTGGTTTACAAAAATGTGACGATTTCCTAGTTCCATATGAATGTATTTAAAAATTCAAAAAAAAATTTGTTTGAAAGACTAGGAGGGATAATACCTTCATGACATAACAACATAAATAAAACAATATTATAATCATTCGATTCAAATAGCCTACATTAAAACATTTAAAACGGACAAAAATAGGTTTTGTTTGTGCAAGATAATGGGATCCAGAGATAATACGTTTTGCCTTCTTTTGTAATTTATATAATCTATTCATACAACAATCATTTGAATTTGCCCAAACAATATTGCAATAACTTTATTGTGATGAAAACAATGCATTGTTTGTCATTCATAAAATCTTATAAGGAAAATGTTTTAATTTGTGTAAAATACCAACTACTTTCGAGAGTTTATTACAAATTGCTTCAATATGTACGTGCCATGACATTATATAATCAATTTTAATTCAAAAAAATGTCAATGAATTACAATGCTGTGCAACATTTCCATGAATTGTTACTTTAACATCATCAGTTGTAATGTTTTTGTTTGTGAAAATTGTATAATTATTTTTCTTTACATTTAAGATAAATTTGTTAATATACAACCATTGAGAAATGTTTTGAAGCTCATCATTAAATCGTATCATTCCATCTAAACTTAAATCATCCGCATATAAAATACATTGTAATGATATTTGTGAAGCCCAAGTAATATCATTCATGTATACAAGAAATAATAATAGGATGGCAGAAAACAGAGATAGGTGGAAAAATGAAATATCTGGCATGCATTTAAAAATAACTGTACCTAAAATTCACTGTACATGTAGGAGGGTGCACATGTACTCCTTGACTAATGGGGTACTGAACTACGTTTTGATGACCATTGCGTGATGCATAGTGAAGAGCCGTCACACCCTTTTCATTAGGCAGATCAACCCGTGCTCCTCGATGAAAGAGGTACTTAACTAACCCAAGATTAGGTGAATACATCTGTGCTCCTTGACTAACGAGGTCCTTAACAACATCAAGATGACCATTGAATGATGCACAGTGAAGAGGTGTCTCAGCATCATTTTCACCCTTGTTAATCGGTGCTCCGAGATCAATTAGAAACTTAACTACATCGATATGACCACTGCGTGATGCAAAGTGAAGAGGTGTCTGACCATTATTAGCACTTCTCTCAACCTGTGCTCCTTGTCCAACGAGGTACTGAACTACATTGCTTGATGCAAAGTCAAGAGTTGTCCGGCCATCATTATCAACCCTGCCAAACAGTGCTCCTTGACCAACAAGATACTGAACTACAGGGAGATGACCATTGTTTGATGCGAATTGAAGAGGTGTCTGACCATCATTATCACCCCTGTCAATCGGTGCTCCTTGATCAACAAGATACTGAACAACATCGAGATGACCATTGCTTGATGCACTGTGAAGAGGTGTCCGGCCATCATTATCACCCCTGCCAATCGGTGATCCTTGACCAACAAGATACTGAACAACATCGAGATGACCATTGCTTGATGCACTGTGAAGAGGTGTCCGGCCATCACTATCAACCCTGCCTAACAGTGCTCCTTGACCAACAAGATACTGAACTACAGGGAGATGACCATTGTTTGATGCAAAGTGAAGAGGTGTCTGACCATCATTATCACCCCTGCCAATCAGTGCTCCTTGACCAAGAAGATACTGAACTACGTGGCGATGACCATTGCGTGATGCACAGTGAAGAGGTGTCCGGCCATCATTATCACCACTGTCAATCGGTGCTCCGCGATCTTCAATTAGATACTTAACTACATTGAGATGACCATCGCCTGATGCATGGTGAAGAGGTGTCTGACCATCATCATCACCACTGTCAATCGGTGCTCCGCGATCTTCAATTAGATAAATAACTACATTGAGATGACCATCGCCTGATGCACAGTGAAGAGGTGTCTGACCATCATTATCACCACTGTCAATCGGTGCTCCGCGATCTTCCATTAGATACTTAACTACATTGAGATGACCATCGCCTGATGCACAGTGAAGAGGGGTCTGACCATCATTATCACCACTGTCAATCGGTGCTCCGAGATCAATTAGAAACTTAACTACATCGATATGACCACTGCGTGATGCAAAGTGAAGAGGTGTCTGACCATTATTAGCACTTCTCTCAACCTGTGCTCCTTGTCCAACGAGGTACTGAACTACATTGCTTGATGCAAAGTCAAGAGTTGTCCGGCCATCATTATCAACCCTGCCAAACAGTGCTCCTTGACCAACAAGATACTGAACTACAGGGAGATGACCATTGTTTGATGCGAATTGAAGAGGTGTCTGACCATCATTATCACCCCTGTCAATCGGTGCTCCTTGATCAACAAGATACTGAACAACATCGAGATGACCATTGCTTGATGCACTGTGAAGAGGTGTCCGGCCATCATTATCACCCCTGCCAATCGGTGATCCTTGACCAACAAGATACTGAACAACATCGAGATGACCATTGCTTGATGCACTGTGAAGAGGTGTCCGGCCATCACTATCAACCCTGTCTAACAGTGCTCCTTGACCAACAAGATACTGAACTACAGGGAGATGACCATTGTTTGATGCAAAGTGAAGAGGTATCTGACCATCATTATCACCCCTGCCAATCAGTGCTCCTTGACCAAGAAGATACTGAACTACGTGGCGATGACCATTGCGTGATGCACAGTGAAGAGGTGTCCGGCCATCATTATCAACCCTGCCAAACAGTGCTCCTTGACCAACAAGATACTGAACTACAGGGAGATGACCATTGTTTGATGCAAAGTGAAGAGGTGTCTGACCATCGTTATCGCCCAAATCAACCTGTGCTCCTTGACCAACAAGATACTGAACTACAGGGAGATGACCATTGTTTGATGCGAATTGAAGAGGTGTCTGACCATCATTATCACCCCTGTCAATCGGTGCTCCTTGATCAACGAGGTACTGAACTACATCAAGATGACCACAGTATGATGCCCAGTAAAGAGGTGTCTCACCATCGTTATCGCCCAAATCAACCTGTGCTCCTTGACCAACAAGATACTGAACTACAGGGAGATGACCATTGTTTGATGCGAATTGAAGAGGTGTCTGACCATCATTATCACCCCTGTCAATCGGTGCTCCTTGATCAACAAGATACTGAACAACATCGAGATGACCATTGCTTGATGCACTGTGAAGAGGTGTCCGGCCATCATTATCACCCCTGCCAATCGGTGATCCTTGACCAACAAAATACTGAACAACATCGAGATGACCATTGCTTGATGCACTGTGAAGAGGTGTCCGGCCATCATTATCACCCCTGTCAATCGGTGCTCCTTGATCAACAAGATACTGAACAACATCGAGATGACCATTGCTTGATGCACTGTGAAGAGGTGTCCGGCCATCATTATCACCCCTGCCAATCGGTGATCCTTGACCAACAAAATACTGAACAACATCGAGATGACCATTGCTTGATGCACTGTGAAGAGGTGTCCGGCCATCGTTATCGCCCAAATCAACCTGTGCTCCTTGACCAACAAGATACTGAACAACATTTAGATGACCATCGCGTGATGCACAGTGAAGAGGTGTCTGGCCTTCATTATCAACCCTGCTAACTGGTGCTCTGTGGCCAACGAGATACTGAACAACATCTAGACGACCATTGCGTGATGCACAGTGAAGAGGTGTCTGACCATCACTATCGCCCAAATCAACCTGTGCTCCTTGACCAAAAAGGTACTGAACTACATTAAGATGACCAAAGTAAGATGCCCAGTAAAGAGGTGTCTGACCATCGTTATCGCCCAAATCAACCTGTGCTCCTTGGGCAACGAGGAACAAAGCTACATCAAGATGGCCACAGTATGATGCCCAGTGAAGAGGCGTCTGACCATCATTATCAAGGTTATCAACTAGTGCTCCTTGACCAATGATATACTGAACTACACGGAGATGACCGTTGCGTGATGCAGCGTGAAGAGACGTCTGACCATCATTATCAAGCTTATCAACTAGTGCTCCTTGGCCAACAAGATACTGAGCTACAAGGAGATAACCATTGCGTGATGCGCAGTGAAGAGGTGTCTCGTTACAATTATCACCGCTGCCAATCTGTGCTCCTTGACTAACGAGGTACTGAACTACATCAAGCTGTCCACAGTACGATGCACAGTAAAGAGGTGTCTGACCATCATTATCACCACTGCCAATCGATGCTCTGTGACCGACGAGATACTGAACTAAATCAAGGTGACCACTGCGTGATGCATAGTGAAGAGGTGTCTGACCATAATTATCAACACTGTCAACCGGCGCTCCGTGGCCAACGAGATACTGAACAACATTGAGATGACCATCGCGTGATGCACAGTGAAGAGGTGTCCGGCCTTCATTATCAACCCTGCTAACTGGTGCTCCGTGAACAACATCTAGACGACCATTGCGTGATGCAAGGTGGAGAGTTCTGATACATTTCGACATATTGTCTCGTTCTGATTTCCGTCACATAAACCAATGTGCATGCTCTGATTCATCCAAATGCAAATATATTCCACGATCACTTGCTTCAAAATAAAATTAGAGATTGTCAAACCCAAAGCACAGAACAGTGCAAAAATTTCTTCCACGACAAAACGTTAGCTTATCTTCTTAAATTAGCTCTTTGATCCTTATAATCTGATAACGTAGCCCATGGAGCACGTGCGTTTATCCCGGCCGGAATCGAGTAGAAAATCGGTATCCAACAAAGGCCGATTTAACGGTGCCAATTGTCTTTTTGAAACGAGCGATTCATTAAAGTGTAAAAGGCACGGGGCTTGTCGCTGAATGCGGACCGAGCTGGTGCAAACTAATGAAATGGAATATAGGTAGAAGCACAGCCCGTTTACGGCACACACACCGCAATGGCTCTGCTCCAGCGCACACGCCGCCGTTTTGGCTAGCGCAAGAACTCGCACTCACCAACAAGCCGAACGCGGATTCTGTATCGGATTTAAATTACCACGGGAAGGGCGGAGGGAGGGCAGTACACCACTTCTATGAAATATATATATTGACTAAAATTGACCTTCTAGCAGGCCTAGACAATTTCTTTGTGTTCATCTGGTCGACTTTGTCCCCCCCCCCCCTATCACAGCACCCTTTTCCTCTCTCTATTTCTTTCTTTCTTTCTCCTAATGTATCACCATTGAATTCCCTCTCCTATCTCGATCATGTCGATCTCTTCCTCCTTTCTCTCTGCCAATCTATCTCCCCTCTCTCTCTCCCAATTTTTTCTCCCCGTCTCTCTCAAAATCTTCTTTTTTTTCCTTTCAAATAAGGTTTTATTCATGACTTGCCAAAAAGTCCAAAGACTAAAAATGCAAGTTTACATCAAACATACAATCATATAAAAAGCATTCAAAAACATATGTACATATATATAAAGATAACATAGCAAATGAGAGCAAATACGGTATATAACAATGAATACATGTTTAAATCAAAACATTAAAGTAGTAACAAAACAAAAAAATAAAAAAATAAATACAAGATATGAAATATTGTTAGCAAAAATGAATAAATGTTTACATCAAAACAAATAAAATGTATACAGATACGTGAGTTCAATTAACTGTAACATTGGAAAATTGTGATAAAATGCAATACAAATTCCATTATGAAGGTATAGTGAGTATTAACAAGTATTACAAAGTATTAAAATTGGAGTCTTGGCAGTGTGCAATCACAAGTGTGATATGAGTACAGTATAATGTATAAACACATTGCACATGAAAACAATGGAATTACTTAGGTATTATTGGTCACAGTAAGAATAGCAGATAATTAAAGAATGTTGTACTGTAAAACATCATCAGAGGAGAAAGAGGTGGAGAGGAGGAGGGAGAGACAGAAAGTGAGAGAGAGAAACAGAGAGGAGGAAGAAGAGAGGAAGAGGCAGAGAGAGCAAAGAGAGAGAGAGAGAGAGAGAGACAGACAGACATAGAGCTGAGAGAGAGGGAATGGGAGTGAAAAAGAGAGTGAGAAGAAGGATAAAAGTACATGCAACATCAAAATATGAATGAATGGAAGAACCTGCTGTGCCAATCATCATGACAGTTAATATTGCTCATAATTATATTATTGCTGAAATACATGACATACAACATACTGATAATTACCTAAGCCTCTATTTATTATTATTCAAGGATCGAGTGAAAGATGGGATGGGGCAATTTCGGTACCTCGTAGTTCTCATCCGTAGGCGAGGACAAATCAAGTGCATTTCACAGAATGCGGCTACAGTCATTAATTGACTCTGCTCTCAGGCAGGAGATGTCGATTAACCTTAGATTGGAGAAGTGATTCTGCAAATCTTAGAGAAAGGGATGTGCGTCTCTCTTTAAGAGAGGAGACACCAAGATGAGATTGCAGTTCATCATAAGTTCTAGAGTCAGGGTAGGTGATAATCCTGAGAGCTCTCCTCTGAACTCGCTCGCTCGATGCTTACAGAGTGGTTGTTTGTGATCCCTGATGTCCAAACAGGTGCTGCAAATTCTAACACTGGCCTGATGTACAATATGTAGATAGTAGCAAGATCCTTGGTGGTAAACACCATTCTTCCGAAGCTTAGTCAGGAGATAAAGTCTTCTGGAAGCGTTGGAGATCAAACGGCTGACCTGCCCATCCCATTTGAGATCATCCTGAAGGAAAAAAACCTAGGAGCTTAAGGGATGAGACAGCTTCCAGTGTGGTAGAGTTTATGTCAAGAACGATGGGTGGCGGGGGCTGGCGAAGAAATGAAATGTGCATAGCTTTACACTTAGCAGCATTCGGGACAACGTCGTTGTCTTTGCACCATTGGATCAAAGAGTCTATAGATGCGACTGCAATTCAGATGGATGCGTTTTCTTCAAGACCTCCACGATTGTCAAGTCATCCACATATTTTCATCGGTTATCACCTTCAATAGCTGCATCGTTGATAAGGACCAGAAACAGGACCGGTCCGAGGCGAGTACCTTGGGGTACCCCACAGGTGATGGCTTGTTCTTGAGATGATTTCCCATGGTAGCGGACAGTCTGCGCTCTGTTGGAAAGGAAGCTGCAGATAGTAGAGATGATAGAGTGATCAACGTACACCTAACTCAATCAGCTTGTTCATAACAATGGTGTGGTTGACATGGTCAAAAGCCTTAGAAAAATCCACAACGCAGAGGTTAGCGAGAGTGCCACCCTAATTGTCAAGCCCTCTGTGGATGGTGTCAAGCAGGCTGAACAAGTAGTGCGTAACTCCGGGGCGTAACTGATCCTAGTCCAGCCTCTGTACCGTTTTCGTTTAGCGCACCCAATCAGCTGATAAAATAACACACCCTCAACGTTGAAAGTAGACCTAGCCATTCCTCTAAATCTGGGTCCGTCGTGTGGACGGAAATTTGGGGATTGCGCGATCAGTAGAGAGACCGCGCTGACGATAGGGGGCGTTGTGAAATGAGACTAAACGGAGCTATATGAATTCCTGTCTTTTTATTCACTTTACTTTCTAATAAGGGAAAATCATAGCCGAGAAGGTAAAACTTAAATTTGGTGGAAAATATATAATAGGTAACAATTGTAACTCATTTATTTAAAAAATACTAAAATATAGCGGTTGAAAAATCTATTTCTTTTATGCTACACCTTCACCCCAGAACAGCATTAACCTTTGTATGCAATTTGCGTTCTGGCAATTATAAATGATAATATAATGATAGTATAAATGATAATAGCAGGTGAAATGCTTCAACACCACAAACACCTGGGAACTGGAAGCATCCATCAATCTTAAAACTTTTACTGGATAAACGGCTCCGCACATCAGGTGCGGATCCAGAGGGAGGGGGCCGGGGGACCTAGTCCCCCCTCTCAAAAAGAGAGAGAGAGAGAGAGAGAGAGAAAAGGAAAAGAAGGCCGGGGAAAGGAAAAGGGGAGAGAAAAAAGGAAAGAAAAGGGAGAAGAGAATTAGAAAAGGTGGAAGAGAAGGAGATAGGGGGTGGGGCGAAAGGGCATTGCCTCTTCCCTCCCCACCCGCCAAAAAAGAGAGAGAGAGAGAGAGAGAGAAGGAAGGAAAGGGAAAGAAAAAGGAAAAGAGGAGACAAAGGGAAGGCAAAAAAGAAGAAGAAGAACAGTAAAGAAGGGAGATATCAGTTGCGATTTTCCCGCCAACAAGGTGTGGATCGGGGGGAGGGGCGAAAGGCTCTTGCCTCCCCACTACCCCCTCAGCAAACAGAGAGAAAGAGAGAGAAAGAGAAGGAAGGGAGGGAAAGTTAAAGAGGATAGAAAAGGAAAGAAAATAAAGAGGTAAAAGAAAAGAAAATGGGGAAAGATATGCTTTTGCGCCCCTCTCGTCCCCCCTAAACGAAAGTAAGAGCCAGATACGCCACTGGACACCACTTGCGTACTGATGGAGGGAGGCGGGGGGGGGGGGCAGACCCCCCCTTCCGCCAAAAAAAAATCAACCGTGGTTTATTTCTAATTCGCTACCAGCGATTTACAAATGTTGTGAAATGGCATAATTTTCCGGGATTGTTAGTAAAAAATTATACTCTTTTATGCGTTTGTTGGTAAATGAAAAATTCCCAAATGTACAGTCAGGCAAGAAATATGCATGACTCAGGGCCCTCGAAACGGCAGGGCTCGGGGGGCTCGAGCTCATCCCCCCCTGCATTTTTTTTTAAAAAGCATATTAAAGAGAGAAAGAAAAAATAGTGACCTGGCAATGTCACGATATATCAAAATCATGCTCAATATCAAAATATGCTCATCTGACCGTGATTAAATGCCTAAAACCCTGATCTAACGGGGGCTCTGCCCCCTGGACTCAATTGAAGGCCCTAAGGCGGGCCCCTGGATGCTCATCAGACGGTAATTTATTGCCTAAAACCCCTAAGCTTCCGGGGCTCCGCTCCTCCCCCCCCCCCCCCCACTCCGTGAACGGAGGGATACCAAGCGTGTTCCCAAAATGTCCGGTAAAGGGGTACTTTTCACGCACCAAAGTCCGTCTCGTAGTACACAAAAATCCGGCCCGTATTGACTTTACACACCGGACTTAGGGGGGTGTTTTCAAAAGGAGGGAACATGTATATGCGTACCTTAAATAACACTGAGTGGAGCGGAGGGGGGGGGGGCAGGGCTCCCCCTGGACCACACGCCAATTAGTGATCTGCCAGTGTCACAAAAAAAAAATCAAAATCCGCTCGTCTGACCGTAAGTGATGCCTAATACCCATGAGCCCCAGGACTCCACCTAGGGCCCTAAAGCGGGCTCTTGGATGCTCATCTGACGGTAATGTAATGCATAAAAACCCTGAGCTTTTGGGGCTCCACCCCTGGACCCCACGCCAATTAGTGACCTGCCAGCTAGTCACAAATAAGGTATCAAAATATGCTCATATGACCGTAATTAATGCCTAAAACCCCTGAGCTTCCGGGGGCTCCACCCCCTGGACCTCACCAAGGACCCTAA